AAAAAAAAAAAAAACTCACGGAGGATGTTCGATAGTTAATTGGAAAATTCAATGAAACTGATTTATTCGTTTCCTTGGAATTTGACCCATAACACAGAGAGAGGAAGTAATTCGTGAGTCATAAGGAATTCTAGAAATATAAATATAGTAATATAACGTACAATAAAGCACCGAAATAATAGAAAAATAAGAGAAAAAAGAATTGCAGAATTTTTAAAGCTATTTGGGAGACAAATCAATCACGTTATTTTTGTTCAGCATTTTTCTCAGAAATGGTAAACGAAACGAAAAAATGGTATAGAACAAAGTTTCACGGTTTACTATGACCGACATAGCAGCGTACAACAATCTTTTATGTTTACAATATTTTTCACAAAATTAAGATAATTTTTAATTTTTATATAATATAGAATGCTATTTTTTTTTTTTTTTTTTTTGGTCTGTCGTATAAAAACAAATTCAAACATATGATAAATGATGTCCTTCCAGTGTTTTGTAAGATCGGGAATGAGAGAAATAATTATGACGAGTCGGGCTGAAGCATATTGTCTTAGATTGCTTCTGAAAAAAGTCAAATCTAAATGATAGATAATTACGTATGGGACATGCACCAACGTTAAAGTGAATATATCGGACAAATAATAACGTTGTTATCATTTTGAAGAAAAAACAGCAAATCTGCAGTAATTCTACGATTGTCCAGCGAGAGCGTATTTAATTTGCGGAGTATTATTCGCGAGCGCGTAATGAAAAACTGAAAAATCTATGCTGAGTCCTTTCCAGAAATTGTATGTACTTAACCTAGTAAAGAGAACTTTGCACAAATCGTACAAAATTTGTGCAAAGTGTTATTTAAATACTCCGGTAATACGAAGTATAAAAATAAAGAGCCAAGATTTCTTTTTGAAAGGTTGAAAGGTTTCACTGCAGGAAGACGAAATTGTTCCATTATTACCATCACAGTACGTGAACTACGTGCGATACGTTCATGCAAAGTTTCAAATTTTGTTTTTCTTTCTTTTTCTAATTTTCCAATCGTCGAACTTTTCTTCGTCAGTTGAAAGGGGGCGGAAAATATAGAGGAAAAAATAATGGAAAGGAAGCAAGGATTGTGTGCCTTGTACAGAAAATGTCTACGAGTAGCAGTTTTATTACTCGGTCTCGTTGTTGAATCGAGGGCAATCAATTCTTTTATATTGCGTTTCTCCCTCC